ACAATGCAAACCTGCGCTGCTCCTGTCCTGTTGGTCTACACAGAAAGGGGATGCCTACGCCTACCCTCACACATTGCCTCACCCTTCTACTAGCAGTTCGACGCCACTCGCAACACGCCGGGCTCTTGACCTATCGCGCAACACACCACCGTCGTGCTGTCGAGCGGTGGGGCACTTGTGACGAACTTCCTGAGAAAGCAACGAAACTGCGCAGGTACTGCCACTTCAGTCGGCACACAAAGGCAAAACTGCGCATCCAGACTGAACGGTGATAGACATGTGAGGAACGTGCTGGGCCGTAGATAGTTTGCTCAGTTCCTTGTTTATTTTGTCTGAACACGAGTTAGAGAATCCAGGGGCTACTCAACTGGTCCACCCTTATATACGTCAATGCTATCAAGTAGTTGCAGACAGTCGGTCGCCGTTTGGCCCCTATTGTTAGAGCTAGCAGGCAAGTCTGCTCGCACGCATTGGTTCACGGTTAAATGCACTGTCAGGTCCCCTTGCAGCTCGGCCGTGCGCTTGGCCGAAAGTAACCCTTGCATGCGCAGTCTCAATTCGAATTATCTGGTCGGCTAATCGCAGCACTAAATGCACACCACAGCACGCACACTCAGATCGAAAACGCAAATTCACCAACACTCCGCACGCCGGTATCTGCCAACGCATATCTCCCCATCCGTACCTATCTGCACGCCGAAATCTCCAGGCTATGCTGGACTAGGCATGCGACGAACCGTTGGTGGAATTCGTCAGCACAGAAATGCTAATCTCGGCATTGCTTTGCCAAGGAAGGCTTCGGTGCCCATGGCTCCAGGCGCCATCAGTGGGTGCACTAGTGTACACCACCACAAGCCTTGCGTTGCGAAATTCCCCACACTATAGAATATCGCACCGCGTGAAGGAGACCCCGCGGATCGTTTGGTCGAAATGGAGGCTACGAAAATGCCTCCTGTGCCTCTGACTATTCCGCAGTCGTAGTTCCCTCATGCATAAGGCCACCTTGCTGCCTACGAAGAACACACCTGAAACACACCTTGCAACATGGCGTAGTAGTCAAATCCACAAAGAGAGCCCGAAACAACCGGGACGGCGTCACCCACGGGCAAATTGTCAAGCAGGATAGGATCTGTACCACTAGCTCACACTCAAATCCGCACGTCTTTCTTGCGACCATAGCCATGCGCCTGCATTTGCTACAGGTTAGCCCCGCACGGCCAGCGCCCGACGTCCTGTTGCGCCGCTGGGATAAAGGGGCTTCAGACTGTTCACCCGCATCGAAACACTGACTGCATCTGGTCTTCCTAAGAAACCCGCACAGTGACAAGCATTATAGGGGCAGCCTGTAAGAACTTCACAAGAAAAAATTTGACAAGCCAAAGGCCCATTGCACCTTGCAACGGCGGGTTAGCACACCTGCCAGCCGGACCGCACAAGACTGATGTGCTGTTCCGCCAATTTAGCATTCCATCTGATGCATACAATACACTATCTGCACGTCGCAGTCGACCGCTGGTGACCTATTGAATATGCGCCCGAGCTGCCACTGAGAGGTCCCAAATCAGCAAGAATCAGATCCTACACTGCTCTCAATTTGTCCTGCTGTCGATTCACTGCAACAGAAAGCAAGCATCAGCTGCGACTACCACATGATGCAACGGAGGATCTAAAAGCCTTCTCCCAACATTCTCCACCTTGGGCAAGCACGCTTGTGAGACAGCCAGCAAATTTCGTCTTTGGCATTCAAGCCGCACTGCCGTTCCTCGATGCACGTAGCTCAATGCTGCATACTGCTAGGTCTTGATGGCACTAGAGCGGCGCCACTGCGCAGACGCCCTCCATCCAGCCACTACGAACAAAAATGCCCATCATGAATTCTTGGTGCGGAGTATGTGTGCAACTCCCTGGAATTACAAGTGCTTCACAAACTACGCCGAATCTCTGAAAATTCAGACTCCCTTCAGGGACCCTGTTTAATGTGCCAACAAATGCATATCGTCCTCCCCAGTGCTCTTCCTGAGACATCCGCCAAATGGCATGCCTTCACTCACTAACAGTAAACATAAACGTTCACCGGAACTGGCCCCAGCGCCTCCTGCCACCCCGCGTTGCAACGCCGAACGAGCGTAACGTGCTAGAAGCAGAATGTCTTGCATATCCAAAGAAATTTTCTTTGTGGTTGACACCACTTCCAAACGATCTGGTACCTCCACTCGCCAACATTCAGCACCAGAACACGTGCCTCACCCAGCACTACGTACGTGGGAAACTCTCATGCTTGTCCTTCACAGCACATGCGGCAAATTTCCTCTGATTCGAAAACTCTTCAAAGTGACCCCCTTCTTCATGCGAACCCGGCCAAAACCTGGAGGACGTCTGAGGCGAAATGCACCCTGGAAATTCCCACCCTGGAAATTCCCTTACCTAAATCGATGGAATGCGAATGTGACAGGCCATATGATGGGAGAAATATACTACCCAAGGCATCTACTACGCTTCATGGTGGCATAAGCTGAAGTCTACGCCCCACCACGAAATGGCTCCCCCCAGCCAGTCAAAGCCAGCCACGTGCCCCGCACACCCGGCAGTTATTAGTCCTGCTCTTGACCAGTCCAATAGCAAGAACGCACAGGCTATGGCCCTCAACAACTTCACTCTCTTCTACATCCGCCACTCAGTCTGGGCAGCGAGGTACGAACACCACCAACACGCCGTTGGCACCGACGCTCCAACCAGCGCACGTTCCTTACGCATCCCGCAGTAGTTCCAAACATTCGTGTGGCTGTCTACTTGACATCATGTACACACTTTGAATTCATGGCTCTTCAAAGAAAGGTGTGCACCACCACTTTCCACCAGAACCGGCCTGGCCCTCCACGATTACTACAGTGGCAATTCTGCGCGAATATGCCATGCCACAGATTGTAATTAGAATGATGCAAGTATAGGACGGGATTATTGCAGACTCGACAAACGGTCAAGGTAGCTGCGCATCTAGCATGGACGCCATTACCGCCTTCGCCTCTGGGATTTTAACTAAGCGTCGAGGAACAAAAGAGGCTTTAGCATCACCGTCCACAGTAATGCCAAACAGCAACTGCCTTCCCTCTGAGAACTACTAAGGTCGTCCAATTATAGCTGTTCCTTGCGGCAACGAACTTCCTGCGATAAAATGTGCCCTTTCGCATAGTTGCTTGGCTGTTCCTCACTCTGTCGTTGGTCTCCGCTGCATTTCCTTTCAGACATCTAGTGGAGATACGACCATTCGCCAAACAACTCACACCTATCTGCACCATCACGAGCCCTGCCCCTCTTGGCTGCTACGATTGTCTGTTCAAGCTTTCAGGTACAGATGTGACGAACCTCTTGTAGAATTCGCAGGCCATCCCATATAACTAGCTCCCTGCCGACACACATGCCTTTCAAAGTAGGTCGTTTACACGGGTTTCAGCCGGCAGTATATAAATTTCCTCCCGCGAACTCTACCCACCAGAACGGTGCTTATGGCAACGCATTGGCTCCCAGAATATAAAAGACGAGTGTAGCCACCATGATTGAAAAAAGGACACCAGAAGTTCCGAAAATGTATCTGCGCACGTACGCCACTGCAACGTGGCCGGGCAGGCAGTAGGGCCACCACACACAAACGATACCGATGCGCTCGCAGCAATGGTGGTATCCACCGTAATTATCTAAGATTCAGCTGTGTTAGTCCTCGGTTTGCTTTGACACTAGAGAATGCGAGAGTGCGCCTCCAGTCCTGGTAATCTGGGTGTTTCCTGCCGTTCGGTTCGCACTCCGCTGGTTTGGGGCGGCAATCAGCCCCACGAGGTCAGGAGCGACAGGTCCCAACTCCGAACTACAGCGTGATGCAGCTCATCAACGTACACGGGGACTCATCAGCGAACTACCGCAAATAATGCGTGGGGTGTACAGTCAGAAGGACGATGCTGCAAACAAGCACTCCACCTAGGCACAGCACCAACGCCCACTCCCAGTCTGCTGCCTTGCCCACTTGGTGGGCCATTTAGTATACACAACTCACTGTCTGCAGCCATCCATAAGCCTGGAGCAGTCGCCGGCTTAATGGACAGATTAATCTTAGGAGTAGCCAAACAGTTGTGCTGCGATTATGACTGGCGTTGCCTTACTAACACATTCTTGGCTGTCACGAACTTCGTTCTCCCTTCAAGCTGACCCCACGAAAAGCCACACTCTAACTGTGGCAGTCAACGAGTTCTCCTCGCCTCATCAGACCGAACGGATACAAAGGGGAAATCTACGTCGCCTGCCACTCGAACCAGAAAACCGGCGGCAGCTTACACCGCAGGTAGGTTGTGGAGCTGCTAACCATGTGCCCCGTAGGAATTCTACGCTGCCAAAACCAATCTCCCAAAGGTGTTGCGTGCATCTCCTCCCATGCCCACGCGTGGAATGCCCTTCCTTCCGAAGAATGTGTAATTCACGTGGCGTGACTTCACACGCCAGCAAAAATAATGCTCACCAGCACCTACCTTTCCTCTTAGAACGATCATGGCCTTTGCAACATCTGGCGGACTCCCAACATACTCAGCTTCCCGCCGAATGCACGCACCTGCTAAAAGCCACATCGGAGCGATTTCTACGGTGTTGCTGAATGCGCAAGTGCCCCGCTACCTCAATCGCCCGGCCATCTTCGGCTCATCGCCTGCGCAGCCGCTGGTCCACCTTACTTGCAGATGTATTAGCACTGCCCGTGAATAGCATTAGTCTCCCTAAACATTAAAATCTGCAATGGGAGAGGCCCTTGCACTTAGTCGTGGTAAGGCTTGCTCATTTATCTCAGAACATTACCACAGCACGGCCGCGTGTTCTACATTGGCTTACATCACTAACTGCGGTGCACCCGGGCCCACAGCGGCACAGCACCAGCACAGGATCCTCAGAAATTCAAACTGGACAGCCTAATAAACACTGATAAATCCAACCTCTGGGTATTCCTACACGTGTAAAAATGAGCATCATCCTTCTAGCCGCAGTAGGCTGATGCCCCCCAAACGCAACTGCACTGCAGCCTGTGGAGACACAAAAACATCACCCCCACCATAACCTTACCTGGAAATCAACAGACAAAGGGGCATCCACCACCCTCGCTCAATAACGCTTCTTCAACGGGTGTCATCTCAGTCACGGTTCGCGCTGCCTTGCGTTAGTATGGACACGTCTTTAAGCGTGTCACGGACTCACCTTTGAACTGGAAACACGACGGCAATACACGTCACATGGCCATTATAAGGGCCTCAAATCCTTCATGTTTCTATGGTACGAGAGATGCCACTGTGCAATGCATGCTACGACTTGCGCGTCTCTCCGACGCCCAGCAGCTGCTTACGGTGGCTTGTTGATCTCCTGCTCGAGGCTGCTCGGAAGAGTCTTCAGTGAAGCTCTGCTTCGTGGCGTCCACAGCAGTGAGCTTGTGCATAACGACGAAGACCGCAACTACCACAGCCGAAAGGATAACTACAGCAGTCGCGTCGCGCCGACGCGTGTCTAAGGGGCTACCGTTGCTCCTGGAATCCAGCTGTGAATGAGCACCCTGGTCACCAGGATAAGTTGTTTGTAGTGAAACGTCTGCTGTTTCATTCGAACCGTTTGCTGCCAGAGCAGTGGTCACCAGCATCGAGGCAAGCGGTAGGAGCACGTGAACACGAGGCATCTTCAACTTTTAGACTCAGAGTGCCACTTCTCTCAAGAGTGCAAAGTTCCAGACGAATTTGCCTGAGAGTCTTCATGTATATCTTCATGCATAACAGCACACTTTCTAGATCTATCGCAAATCCCTTCGTGCTCAAGCCGGTGGTCACGCGACCGTCTCAGCTGCCCGTCTCTGCCCAATGGGACTCGAACTGCTGTAGCCCCGTCTGTTTGGCAAAGTCATATGCATTTTTATTTTATTAGCATTACAGATCTAAAGAATCCTCAAGGATGGCATAGCGTAGACGCAATTCCCTGCGACCCCATATGTGTGGCCCCTGCCCGTACGTTTTTCCGTGTCTTCGTACCCGCTGACTCCTGCTTGCTTGCACTTCTTGCCTAGAAAGTAACGAGCATCAAAAGACACCAATATGCTTTCCTGGTTCTTCAGTCTCTAATGGACCGAAAGAACGTGTACCAATGTACTTCCTCAGCGTACTGCGTAATCGAGGCTGCGGGCATGGTGTACTCACAGATATCTTGCCCAGATCCTTGATGCATTTCACCACTCGTAAATCCACACTAGGTGAGGCTTTTGGAGGATCATTAAGCAAGTGTCTGAATGAGTTCCGGTCCAGCAACAATTAAACCCACATGCTCGGGGCATGAAGGTCACTTTCTTGCCAGTGAGTGCTTTCTGTGTATGCATTCAAGAACTGTTCTTCATGCGAATGGGAAATGTATGATTAAAGATGTACAGGGTGGAAGTCTGAGAAGGTCCGTCTGTGCATTTGGAGCTCGAGAATAAACTGCCTCGAGCTGGCTCTGCTGGTGGGAGCAAGGACGATGCCAGCGATCTCCTATGGTGGCACAAAACTGTAATTGGAAAGTGATAGTGAGCACGATCTAGCAGTGAATTAGCGGGCATTAAGAGCAGTGACAGTCAAGGTAACTGCAAGTTGCAAGTACCGGGAATCGAGACGAATCGATCCTTGGGAGAGATCCATCGGTTAACGTGGTTACACGGAGCCCACAACTATCAACCCGCACGTTTTCTTAAGTCCCCTTTTTTAGTACTCCATCTCATGCAAAAAATTTGCTTCCACTGTGCAGTGAACAGTTAGCAGGTCTCCAGAGCACTTGAGGATTTGGATTAGCTTCAACAGCACGTCGCTCCGTAAGGACCGGACTGACGCAGAGAGGTCGCTGGGAGTTGAGGGGTGGATTTTCATAAATTCGGCGAGTGCATAGGCTTGAGATTGCTGCATGCTGAGCAACCAAAGAGACAAATGCCTCACGCACCCATGACCAGAAGGCAGGAATCTACGCTGAGCTACCAAATAGGTTACGTGCGAGACATCCCAGCAGCCTACCAAGTCAAGAGAAAGGAAACACTCTCTCGAACTAGTGTCAAAGCCTATGGAGAAAGTAGTTGTGGATGCATTTCACGAGTTGCATGACAAGGAAGCGATTCAGCGGCAGCAAAGACCACAGTGGCGTCCCGTGCGAATGAAGCACAAGCGGTGGAGACACCAGGCAGGGAGCAGGGACACAGGTTACGTGATCAAGACGCTTGCGCCGTCTGGAAGTGTCTCTATCTGCCAGGTTGCCGCTGAGCTTGCAGCTCCTCCCCGACACGTTCGCAGTTGACTACCCTGTCTCATTAGGCGCACAGGAGCACTTCACAGCAAGTGCATCGCGTCGTTGATTGGGACAATATACTGAGAGGTAGGACCGGCGTGGCGCTTTACTGTTCGCAAAAGCGCAGTGGCATCAGGTTTGGACGGCTCCGTTAGTTTGGTTTTCTTATACCGTTACACTGAGCCTACCTTCGCGAGCCAGTGAAAGTTCTAAAGAGAGTTTGAAACGTTTTGACTCTTCGAAGCCACGTCAGTCTCTTTTCTTTTACTGCTTACTTAACAGTGCCGAACTCATCGTTTTGTTGCATTTCATATCATGCCCATCTCCTTCGGAGTCATCTGGAGTGCTCTGGTGGACTCGAATGGTGCCTTCCCAGCTCTAGAGTTGGCATTACTTCGATGCAACCAACATCGACGTGCTGGGGGTGAAATGAGAGTGGCATGTGGGTGTTTGCTTCGGCATTTTCTGTTCACTCGTGGCACAGGGCAGATGAAACTTTGCCTGCTATCGTGAATCACAGGCTAACTCCGCTCTTGGCACTGGAAAGCGTGCAACAACCAAGTGACAAATTAGTCGCATCTGTAGTTGTCAACCACACACGCACCACCGGGTAGTGCTGTGTCCTAACTGCTCAAGAAAGTAGCACTTTTTATTTCCTAGCATAGAGTTTGCTGCATCTTTAGAGAATCGGCCGATGCACCCCGCCAACTCTCCGCTACCTGCACCAAAACGCAGTCATGGGTGTTGTGCTGCTGTTCATTTCCAACCACACCTGAGACTTCAGGCAGCTCCTCGGAAGTATTGATGTTTGCACGGCATGACTCTGGTGCTGCTAAGGGCGTCATGCAGCAGTGTCCGGAGGGCCGTCGAATTTAAACCCCACGTCCATTCATCTGTTAGTTGGGTGGTTTCGCGCTCGAAAGCAAAATTTGGGACCCCAAAGGCATATGGAGGACTGCTGCTCCCCCATGTCTAAACGCCTAGAGCTAATCCCTGAGTACCGCAAGTCCTGAGGCATAACCTAGTGTGGCGCTAGCAATATCAGCGTAGAGTGCCTCTCTAGAGGGGCTCGAAGGCCTTTTGACTACAAATATAAGGATCCACCTAAGCAGGGAAAAGCCGCCAACACCTTTTGTTTTGTCGTGGAATTGTGTGAAGGGAAGTCTTGAAGTGGAAACTGTGCGCTATCCAGATCAACGCTATCGAGCTTCTACGTGTGCTGTGGTCGCTGGTGCTTCCCATTAGGCAAGCACTCAGCCTAGACGGAACCCCAATTCGCCTAAGTGGGTAGCGCCTACCCGCGCGTCAGTTCCTTTGCGCCTTGGGTAGGTTGCCTCGATACAAAGGTTTTTTCCAGTATTGCAGAAAAAATACGGTAAGAAACAAACGCTTAAACAGCTCAGTTGTAAAAGCCACAGGGTACACCCGGATTCCTCCTAACCAAAAAGCAGCAGCCCTAAAAAGCCAGTCCAAGCTCGCATGCGCTCTTCGCGCTACGTATCAACCTCCGCCTCGCCCTCCACCTCTACCTGAAGAGTATAATACAACAACAGCCTAGCTCTCATCCGCAATCCAAACTCACGCCTTCGCGAACGTCGGCGTACCACACTAACGAGGCACCAGGAAAGACGTTAATAATGCAGTGGAGGCTAAGGCCTATTCCCGTGAGCCCAAGCCCGTGCGCCCCAAGCGATCCGCGTTGTCCCCTCAACCCCATGCCCTTGAGTCGAACCCCTAAACCCTTACATCTACGTCAAGCCCAAGCCAGTGGGAGAGGTATGTGCATTCTCTCGGGTTAACTCTCCCATCTGCGCTGCAGTCCCCAACGAGAGGGCAGCCGATGCACGGGACGCTGTCGAGCAGACGCAGGTTTTCACTTTGATTCCACTGTGCGTACACACCAAAATAACAACAGTCGGCTGCCCCTGTTTCTGCTCCTGTCGCTCGGGGAGCAGAAGCGCCATCACCTGCTTCTCTGGAAGGCTGACAAGCACCGAACAACGGCCTGGGAGTTGCCCAGCTACCAGGCGCCCGTCACACGACAGCGGCATCAGCAAGCACAATATCGCTAGGAGCAGAACTGACTTACGACGAAGGTAGTTTCCGTCCCTGTGCGTATTCGGGCTACTTTGTCTTCGCACTCGAGGGTCGCCACCAACTGAGATATATCCTCGTCCGTGAAGGCGCCGCCGCCCACATCACCTGAAGTGTACACGCGTCGCAGCAGCTGGCTGCTGCATTTGCTCTTGGTGGTGCGGCACTCGTTGTACTTGCTGCAGTCTCTGCACTAGCTGTAGCTACTAAACAGGCTACACCTGCTGCACTTGTTGCAACAGCGAGCGCAGTGGAGCTGCATATCGTTCGCCAGCTCTTCATGCACTAAAAGGGCAGAGTGCAGTGCGAGGAATGGGGGAGGGATGGGCTGGGCTGAGCCCGCACAGACGGTTTCAAGATGTCAAGATAAATGCAACCCAGCATTCAACATGCAGATTGACTCAAATACACCGAGTAGCCATATTCAATTATTTCGTGTCTCAAAAGTTACCGCTGCTCCGCATAAAAGCCACAAGGGCCGAGAAGGTGGAAGACCGGGCGTTGGACAAAAACATCGCCAGTCGCTCGCGCAGTTGCTGCAAACAGCAACACCCCTCAACCCCAAACCCTAAACCCTAAATCCTAGGTCTCTACCAGTGGCAGAGAGCAGAAAAAAATGTCCTCCTTGCAGCCTCGTGCTACGACCATTTCAACCCCGAACCGTCAACGCCCACTTCTGACAGCAAAAACAAGGAAAAGGCATTTATGGTACAGTGGCTCGCAGTTTTACCCTTAAGCTCAAACCATAAACCCTAGTTCCCTAACCTCAAACCCTAACCCCCGCCAGTTCGTACCTCCACAAGCTGCTCGTTAAACTCCCCATTCGTGTAGAAGGAGCCACCAGCTATCTGTAAGCGCGCGGCACAGCAGTCTTGAGGCCTCAACCCTAAACCCTAAACCCTAAATGTTAACGGCTGAAGCTAAAACCCCAATTACACAATTGTGCTGGGTACGGGTTGACCACTCCCAAGCACCGACTAGGCAGATCCCACCCTAAAGCCCAGCCCCGCGTTAAACGATAGCATGATGATCCCGAACGAGTCAGGGTTAAGGCAATAGACCTCTCAGAGGGTTTGTTCGCACCTCTTTAGCCGGTTCCATGTGAGCTAGGATATACATTTTCCTGTTCTTCACGTGAATACTCTTCACAGGCTTGATAAGCTGCAGATTCTCGCACAGATTGCGGACCCCTCGCTGGATAATGTGAGTCTGGAGGCCTGTGCTCTTCCGAATGTCCGCCGTCCATACACCTGAACACAAACCCTGAACCGCCAAGCCCTACGCCGTCAAGCCAAGCACTCTCAGCACGGTACTGCCGATGCGCCCAGGAGCAGCTGGCACTGGCGTTATTCCCTGAGAGCGGGAAGCCTCGGTGCTGTGGGGGCACAACTGATGGTTTAGCGTTTACGGCCGATGGTTTAGGGTATACGCTGTACCGGTGTTTCCCGCTAACTCCACGGCACAGTAAACCTTGTAGTCAAGCGCGTCGAGTTGTTTTAGGGCAGGGATAAGGTTGGCAGGCCGAACGACGCAGCACACATCTGCAGAAACACCCACCCAGCCCTAAATCCTAAACAATAAAGCCTAAAATCCAAGGGTCTGTCCGGATGTGGAGTTGGGAGTGTGAGGGGCTCCCCACAATACCTTATCGGTCTCATACTCCCTACGGAAACTCTATTTCTCAAGACTACATCCGAGGTCCTAAACCCTTGGGCTTACTATCTCCCTTCTTCCGAATGACTCCCGCTCGCGCTTCGTTTAGTCGGTTGAAGACGGCGACGATCTTTTCCCGGGACCAGCCCTGCAGAGGAAACCCTAAACCCTAAGCCCTAAACTCTAAACCCTATTTACCACAAACGGTTGTTTCTGCAGCCTTATCTACCTGCAGCACCTCTCTCCGAAAGCTTTTAGCAGAGTCTACCTGGTCGAGAAGGAGTTGCTGAGTCAATTCGTTGTTGTTTCGGAGGCCCAAGTTGTACGCAGTGGACAGGTCCTCCCCAGAAAGGGTTGCAGAACCACGGGGGGCCCCTGAACGGGGAACCCCAGTGCCCTCTCCAGCAGGGGAAGGCCCCGCATCTTTGGCCTCCCCACCAGCATCGCTCTGCTTTGCAGCCGACATGGCGGGCCGAAGAGCCTAAACCCTAAACCCCCCCCCCCCCCCCCCCAGGCGC